TATCGAATGTTTTTGTTGTTCGAATGAATTTTGAAAAAACATCGATTAAAGACGAAAGAAAAAAAAAAAAAAAAAATTCTGATAATTTTTCTGTGTTAATCGAGTCGATTAAACTAAAAAAAAATTTCAAAAATTGTTTTTTTTTTAAATGTGAAATAAAGATAATTTCTTCAACACTCGATTATCATCATCCGTTTTAGCAAAAAGTAAATAATGTGAAAAGTAATCATTTCTGTTGCTACTGGCTGGCTAGCTAGCTAGCTGAGATTATTTAATCACTTGATTTTATTCAATTTTAGAAAGAAAAACGAAATGAAATGAATGAAAATTAAGCACATTGAACAATTATCAAATTTTGAAATATAATTATCATAATTTTTTTCTTCTTCTTCTCTATTCCATTCCTTCCCTCAATTTACTTCAACAACATCATCATCATCATCATTGTCGTCATTCGTTTTGTTTTAAAATTGTGATTTCTTTCCCCTTTTTCCTTTCGTGATTATTATCCACCCATTTATCAGCAGCAAATGAAAAAAAAATTCAATATCGTCCACGAGAAATTACTGTAGTGTGTGGATAAAAAAAATCTAGTCAAATTTCAATTCATTTTGGCTACTGATTGAATCAAGAAAAAACGTTCTCCATTCATTTTATCATCAAATTAAAGTGAAAATAGAATAAACAAATAAGTGGCTGCCTATATAATCATCAATTTGGATATATTTTTAAAAAGATGATGAAAAAATTTCCGTGAAATTAGAGACTAAAATCCATCCAAAACATCAATTATTTGATAATAATTATCATCCATCATAATCATCATCATCATTGGTGATGATGATTATGCTAATCTAGTCAACCGTATAGTTCATATTTCGAAGAAAAAAAAATGAAAAAAATTTCAAAAATGCAACCAAAAAAAAAGAAAAAATTCATCGAATCATAATGAATTGTGTCGCAGTTATTGAAAATTTTGTTTTGTAAAAGATTTTTTTTTCACTCCAACAATCCAATTTTTGTAATTAATTTTTCTGTGTTTGTGTGTGTTTGTGTATATCCTCGCTGTTAATCCATTCTTGCAACCAAAAAAAGTAATCAATCAATCAATCAATTTTTGGGTAGAAAAAATGATTAAATTAACTGAATTTCCACCGGTCACCTATAGTTCATCATTTGTATCGTACATTATACAGGTATGTTTGTTTTTCATTCATATTTTTTTTACTTGTTTTAATTGGAATTTTTCTCAATCAACCATAAACAATAACATTTATTAAACAAAATATCGATTGCAACATTTTTTAAAAATAATATTTCAATCGAATCTAATTTTAACATAATAATGTTTGTTTGAAGGTATTTTATTTATTTGTCAATCAATGTGATTGATCGACGGCAACATAATCAAACATTTATGATTGAAAATAAAAAAAATTCAATTGATTGACGTAATCTATTCATGATAATAAATAGAGGTGCTATGGCAATTAAATTTATTTTATTTTTTCTTTTTGAAAATTTTATATTTAGTTTGTCTGAAATAAAAGTAATAGAAATTCTCTTTCTCTCTCTCATTTTCACTCAATCATTGTCTTTTTGGTTGTTACCACATTAGACATTATCAACATTATATAAATTTGGTCTGTCAATCAAAAAAAAACAATAAATAAACATATGAACAAATAACTCTTTTTTTTATTTGGTTAAAAAAACTGTCTGTTTGTATATGTCGATTTCATTAAATTATTATTATGATCAATTTTTATTGTTTTTTTCACCAATGGAGATGAAAATAGTTCACATTTATTATCATATAATATTGGATATAATTTTTTTCCAATTATCTTTTAATCATCAATCATTATTTGTATTCAATTTAGTGTAGGTGGTGTATAATGATGGTTCTTCTTTGGTTATTATTATTGTTCGAAGGACAATTTGTTATGTTTGTGATAAGTTGTCAAAAAAAAAAATTTCATTTCATTTCGTTTTGTTTTGTTTCATTCTATCTCTATTTCCTCCCCCCATATCGATTTATTCATTGACGTAATAATTCATCATCATAAACAACATCATTTTATTTCAATTTTATTTATTTATCTAATTAATTCACATTATCGGTAAATATTATTGACATTATTTCATTTAGACATCGTCATAAATATATACTGCTTTAATAGATTGTAATACATGAAGTATGTTGTATATATTTTTTTTTCTTCTTCTTCATTTTCTTGTTTGTTTGTTGCATAAAAGTTCAGTGTACATGCAATATATATTAATGTCATACCTTGCAACAATTTTTTTTATACATAAACCATGTGTAAATGACTAATTTTTTCATGATGAACCTTTACAAAAAAAGCTTTCCTTCATGATTAAAATGAATTTTAAAAAGAAACATGCAAAAAGTCATGTTCGCTGTTCTCATTCATTTCGATACAAATTTTTTTTTTGTTGTCGATTTCTTTCGAAGGTTAAAATGACCATTAAAATCTATTTATTTTTTTTTCGTCTGTAATCGGCGTATCCTAAATATTATTTGATTCAATCACATAACAACAACAACCAGCCGTTATACTGATTATTAAATTAATATTGGTCATCATCATTTTCATTTGAAAAAAAAAATACATTACATACCACCTCATTCAAACAAACATTCACTTTGCTGTTGAAATATTGCTGTTGTGTAAACGTGATCATCATCAATGGATAATATATCCAGAGATGTTGAACCTGATCATACTTTTTTTTTCTATTTGAATAAATTAGAAAAATTCGTCTTTCGTCATCAAAAAAAATTGAATGTTTTTTACTTGAATCTTTTTTGAAAAATTATTTTGATCTTTATGATTATTTCATTTTTATTCGTCGATGATGTATGATGTTGTTGATTATGTTTGTTTGTCTTTTTGAAAAATAAATTTCATTCTTTAGTACAAAACAAAAATGAAAAGATGTAATAAAGCTTGTTATAGATATTGATGATGATGATAATAAATACATATATACAGTCTCTAGTCACGTAATTCTCTTTCTCTTTTTTCTCAAAAATTTTATTTTTTATTTTTTATTTTTCATTGAATTTGATTTTCAAGTTTTTCATCATAACATTATTGTCGTTTCGTTTCTTTCAATTTTATTCATGTGAGATAAACTTGTGGTTGATGTTCTGTTCTGTCTTTTTTGCTTACTTGCTTGCAATGTCTATTGTGTGTGTTTGTTTTTTGTGAATATTGTTGTTTCACGTTTGCGGAATTCGATCATCGTCATCGTTAAATTATCACATCGAACAATCAATTTCAATTTATTGAAATCGTTTATTTCATTTTTTTTACATCTGTATTGAATAATGTGAAACAGGAAGATTCTAATTTTTTTTCCGAAGAAATTTTATTTTATTTTTTACTTTTCTCCCTCTTGTTTTTTGTTTTCTCTCTAATTGAAAAAACAATTCTGCGAAAAAATAATATTCCTTGATAATAAAACCAACAACTACAGCCAGTAACAAAATTGAAACAATGATGATCGTACAGCATTGTCAACCTACACAGATTAAAACAAAATCATCATCATCATCATCGTCATCAAAATTAGTTATTACAGAATCTAATTGTGAAATGACAACTGCAGCTGCAGCTGCAGCAGCAGCTGCTGTTGCTATAGCTACATGGTCGAATCATTGTTCATTATTACATAATTTTATGGTATTAATTTTTTTTTAATGAACAAATATTTTTGAACATCGATTTTTTTGACAAAATTTTTTTATTTAAATGTTACATATTGTTTAATCCATTCGATATTTTTGTTTCTCTTTCTATTTTAGAATACCAATAATGATAATGATCGATGTGATGATAATGTAATAACAAATGGCCATAATCATCTTCATCATCTTAATCTTAATCATCATCATCATAAAAGATCTAATCATTCAATACGGTTACGTTGGCAACAATTGGCTCGTGATGCATTTCAATATTCTTTACAAGAACAACAACGTAAAAAACAACAACAACAGCAACAACAACAATTACAGCAGCAAAAACAAAATAATAATCAATTGCAAATGTCGAATAATTTTGATATAATCGATAATCATCATCATCAACCGAATAAATTCGATATATTGCAACAGAATCTTATTGATCTCATTGCATTCAATTCGACCGGTTTAAATCCAGATTTATTTGATCATCAATGGATACAATTGTCTGGTCATGAAGATTCATTTGCATTAGCCGGACCCGGTACTATATGGAAAAAACATTCACCCGATTCAACAGAAATTGATGTTTATGAAGCATTAAGTGTTGAACCGATCGCTGAAATGATACCCAAATTTTATCGCAATGTTCAATACAAAGGCGATAATTTTATCGAAATTGAAGATCTCCTATATCCATTCAAAGATGCATCTATAATGGATATCAAAATGGGTACACGAACATTTCTTGAATCTGAAGTAAATAATTCAAAAGCAAGAAGTGATTTATATGAAAAAATGTTACGATTAGATCCTAGCCAATTGACTGCCGAAGAACATGAAACAAAATCTGTTACTAAACTAAGATATATGATGTTTCGTGAGAATCTTAGTTCATCGTCTAATCTTGGTTTTAGAATAGAAGGATATAAGGTGAATATCAGGATTTTTAAAATGTGAATGACTTTAATTAATTATTTGATTTCCAGGTGGGCAACAATGTTAAACACAATAAAAATCTACACACAATCAAAACCGAATCGGACGTACAGACAATATTGGAATCATTTTTTCAATCAAAAAAATCAGTTTGTCGTGAAATTCTTGTTCGTTTACGATTATTACGAAAATATTTTGAATCATCGCCATTTTTTCGTCGCCATGAAATTATTGGATCATCATTATTGATAATTTATACGGCTGATCGTGCCGGTGTATGGATGATTGATTTTGCCAAAACATCACGAATTCCTGAACATTGTCAGATAAATCATAGAGATTCTTGGCAACCTGGTAATCATGAAGATGGTTATCTATTCGGTCTCGATAACCTTATCCACATATTGACAAAAGTTTTGGATCATTCAAAAAATCATCAGTCGCAATCATGTTGACCATGATTTTTAAAAAAACAATAAACACCATAACATACCTCAATATACATACAGCATATAATTTTCATGGCAGTATTTTTATATTTTACCATATACACGAAAAAAAGACATCAAAATTTTTTTTTGTATATAAAAAGAAATAATGAAAAAAAATGATTGAATGAATTTGTACATATAGGTCAATTTTTTAAATTTTTTTGCTTTTCATTCACATCATGATTATAAAATGATCAATACGTTCATTTTTAATGGCAGATTTGTTCGTTACGATCACTTATTGATTGATACTGTTTTCACTATTATTATCATTAACGTTGTTGGTCATTTTTGTAGACATAAGATTAATCAAAGATTTTTTGATACGTAATGCGTTCAATCGTGATGATGGATTCTTTAACCACGATTCTCGTATAATTTTACATATTGATTGTAATGATGGCATCTGTTTGTTTGTATGAAATTCAATAAAAAAAAATTCAAGTTTATTTGATTTGTTTTCTTTTAAATATCAACATACCTCAGCATTCATTTCTAAATGCAATGGAATTTCTGGTCGAAATTGTTCGACACAAACAATTTTACGCATATCATCAAAACTTGGATCTGAAGGTACTTGATATTGATATGGTACCTCATAATTTGATAATGGTGGTTGATCAGAACGGCGTAAAATTTCCCATAATACTAAGGAAAATGAATAGATATCGGCACGTGTATAGGCAGCAAAATCATCTTTACCAAATGAATCATCCAATACTTCGGGTGCCATATAACGTTTTGTACCAACACGATAATTATTACGACCAACATCTAATAGACCGGTTTTTTGTTTCGTAACAGCTAAACCAAAATCAGCAATACAACAAACCGATCGTGTTTTCATCAATATATTTTTTGATTTAATATCTCGATGGGCGATGGCAACTTTTTTTTGGGTACCAAAATTTTCCGTATGTAAATATGTAAGACCAGATGCAATCGATGTCATTATAGAAAGCATATCGGTCAATGTAAGAAAATTTTGGCTAAGAAAATCAAATAATGAACCAAGTTCATGATAAGCAGTGACAAGCCATAAACGTGTACAGGAATTTTCCGATGTAACATCCGCACAAATAAATGCAAGAATATTTTCATGTTTATTTAGATTTGAAAGTGTATAGATTTCAATTTCACGATTAAATGATGCTTCATCACGTGATAGAAATTTTTTAACAGCAACAGCTTCATAATGGAAAAGACCTTTCCATACTTCACCATATCGACCTTTACCAACACATTGAATTAATGTTATTTGTTTGGCAACAGTACGTTGTGTGAGAACTGATTGACCCCAACCAGATCCAGATGAACATGATTGTTCAACAGCTCTTAATGTACTATCACCTGGTAATGATATTTTCAATTCAGGTGATCGATATTGTGAATTTAATGTTTGTTGTTGACGATGATTATCATTATTAAGATGCATTTTTTCCATCAAATCCAGATCATCATTTCCATTCGATATCGATTTTTTACGTCGTCTTGTTCGAATGTAACAAAATGTTAAAAATGCCATAAAACCGATAGATAAAATGGTCATAATGATAATTATAAATGTTGAAAAATGTAATGATTCATTTGTTTCGAATTCATTATAACTATCATTATCGATTTCAAATTTATCATCATTACAGTATTGTTGTGAACAACATTTTATATAAGCATCAATATCATTGCTAATATGATGAAGACGATTTTTATCATCCGTTTGTGGTCGTGGTAAACAGGAAAGATCATCTTGAACACAACCACGTTTATAATTGGTAAATTCATCATGAAGATCGACCGATGTAAAACACTGTAGAAATCGATATTTATTTATTTGTCAGCTAAAAATTTCGAAAATAATCTTACCTTGCCCACTTTACTAATACAAAAATGTTCTCGATTTAAAGCAATTTGTTCATCAAAACAATCATCATCTTCACAAAAATGACATTTAATTAGATACATATTTCAATCATCAAATCAATCAAGTCGAAAATAAAAACAAAGCAACAGGCTAATCATTATTTGACAAGAGCAGCAGGTATTAAAAATAAGGCTCATCATTCATTCCAGATCTACCCTATTCCTGAACACTGATTGGTTGAATCCGATATTATCTGTGTCATGTGCTTTATGAATAGGCCAAACATTCCAAAACACAGAATAATTTTGTTTGATGTTTTGAGCTTGTTTTTTTTTCTTGGTTGCTGGCTTCTGTTGCAATCAATTAATTTTTGACAATTTACAATGGCTTCAGATTATTTAAATCTGGAGAATGATATTAAAAAAGCTTGTGAATTAATTGATAAATTACAAAAAGTTGAATATAATGCCTGGCTTTCAAGGTTTGTATCAATTTTTTACTTCAAATTGCGAAAAATTCATATTTTTGTTTTGTTTTTATTTTTTAGCAATTCATCACCAGAAAAATTGGTTACATTAAAGAAAATATTTGAAAGTGATTTTTTCAATGCCGTACGTGAAGTTTATGAACGTGTATATGAAACGGTTGATATAACCGGTAGTCCAGATATACGAGCTTCAGCAACAGCAAAAGCAACTATTGCCGTATTTGCTGCTTCCGAAGGTCATGCACATCCAAGAATTGTTGAACTACCTAAAACCGATGAAGGACTTGGTTTCAATGTAATGGGTGGCCGTGAACAAAATACACCTATTTATATATCACGTATTATACCTGATGGTGTTGCCGATCGTCATGGTGGCCTAAAACGTGGTGATCAATTAATATCAGTAAATGGTGTTAATGTTGAAAATGAATCACATGAAAAAGTTGTCGAATTATTAAAATCAGCAATCGATAAGGTAACATTAGTAGTAAGATATTCACCTAAAGTATTGGAAGAAATGGAAATGCGTTTCGATAAACAACGAATTCGTCATCGTAAATTTAAATAATTATCTTATAAATGAATTCCAATTCAATAATGTTCATCATTTTTTTCTTTCTCTCTTGTAATTGTTTCACTTATTCGTCCATCTCACCAAACAACAATCACTATCATTTTTTTTTGTCTTTTCAAATTTTTATTAACTCTATATTTAATTTTATTATATTGAATTGAATTTACACGAATTTTCATATATAATAACCAGGGATTTTAGAAAAACAAAACAAAACAAAAAAAAATTTACAATCACTTTTACAATAACAAATTTTTTTTCAAATGATTATCATTATTATAATGAATAAATCAGACGCCAATTGGATGGATGATTATAGGCCAAAAATAATGGTGTATGTAACAATAAGGAAATGGTATGATCTGTTTGTTTGTTTGGGAAAAGAGAAAAAATGAAAATCCAGTGAAAATCATGAATGAATGAATGAAAACATACCGTCAACATTTTTTGATATCTGTTGCCATTGTTGTAACCAATCAAACATTTCTTGTTGTGTTAGATTGATTGGATTTAGACCACGCAGAAAACAAGCTTGTCTTAATTGTTCGAATGAAAGATCGCTATCGAATAAATGTGAATCCATTGCCTGTATGAATGTTATATGTTGAAAAAGACTACGTCGTTTGAATAGAAATAACCGACGAAGACCATGTGTTCGACAAAGATGGACTAGATGTTGTTGTGATAATGAACGAAGACCAAATGGTTGTTCAATGAATAATGGTTTTAAATGTATAATATCATCAACATTTGGATGTGTACCACTGCCTAATCGTGTAAAAACGTATCGACATTTTCCCCGTAAATAAGGTGATTCGATTGAATCAAGACGTTTTTGTAGACTACGAAATAATGGCCGATAATGATATAGTTTACGACGATGATCATCGATAGAAAATTTTGTTCGCTGTTGAATTGTCCAATAATGTGATGATAATAATTGTTTAGGAAATGTAAATGCTAATGGTATGCTAACATATTGTGCTAATGGTAAGGCTGTAATCAATAGAAATGGTGTCATTTTACGTATATCTTTTGGTGTTTTCATATAAATCATCAATTCCTTATAGGTAAGATCTTGAACAGATTTATCGATAGCCAAATCTTTGGATATTCGCATATATTCAAAAACATCATAAGAAAATTCTTTAGTACCGACTGTAAACATCTGTAACATTCGATAAGTAGATGGAAAATTTGTCAACATTAATCGTTCATAACGATTGATTAATAAACGAATTTTATCAAGTAAATAACGTCTGAAACCACTTAACGGTTTAATCACAGATGATGATGATTTTGTTAATTTAGACATTTTTTTTCACTAATAATTTAAAAAAACCAGAATCCAAAAAGACTAGAAAATTTTTTTTTCAAACATGATTGCATCACATGTCGATGCAGATGATTCGATTTTTTCGAGGACAATTTTTTTTCAACCAAGTGCTTCCATCTTTCATCATAAAATTTCAATTTTTTGAAAAAATTTTATTTCATTTCAAAAAAGAAAATAGGAAAAAATAATAAAATAATTATAATAATCATCATGAAAGAATGAAAATAAATTTTGAATGATTAACAAATAATTCCTGTCAAGATGATGATGATAATAATAATAGTGGTATCAAATATGATTCGATCAAATATTGGTGTGGCTGTATGGCTTCAATTGTTTTGTCTTTTTGTATTGAATATACACAAATCAATGGAATTATTTATAGGTATTTTGTAGTCAAAAAATAATATTCAAATTGATAAAAAATAATAACAGAGTCTGTGTAAGAAAACAACAGGAGATTTCAAGAGAGAGAGAAAAAAAAGAACATTAACATTAACAAACAAACAAACATCAACAAACCAAAACAACATTGAAGAAAAAAAAAATAATATCATATAAATCGAATGGCATTTTGATTGTCATTTTCGACAAATAAAGAATGAATGAATGAAAGAAAGTTGAGATGATATCAAGAAATACACATCATTATCCATCACACACAGTAGTGGGTTTATCGTTTACCTGATTTAAATTTAAAACTATTCTGTGGTGAAAGTGTATTTGTTAATGATGTTGTTGATGAATTATGCTTAATTATTGTTGTCGATGATGATGATGATGTCGTCGGTTCTTTACGATTATTTATTGATAAATTATTAAATGAATTAGCTGTAGCAAGTATTTGTTGTTGCGTTACAGCCGATGTCGTTGTCAATGTTGATGATAATGTAGTGGTCATTATTAAAGTATTATTTATATCACAAATATTATTTGGCATATTATTTTGATGATTATGATGATAATCATTTTCATCTTTTGGTGATGTAACCGATGATATTGATGAACTTAAATTCATTGTTGATGTTAAACTTAATGTACTTGAATATTCACTTAAATATTCATTATTAATATCATTTTCATTTTCATCAACAGTTAAACATGTTTCAACCATTGCTTCTAAACAATTAACAAATAATTCAGCATTATCTAGATTGGATTCGGATTTAAGAAATGGTCCGGCAAATCTCCATAGTCCACCAAAACCGAATGCTAATTTAAAAAAACAGAAATTAAAATGTGTGAAACAATAACGGAAATAACATACTTTGTAAACAATGTGATTGTTGTTGTGGTTCTTCATTACAAAGTACCATATTATGTATAATACATTGTACAGCACTTAATATAACTTTATCATGACATAATGATAATACGCTTGTAATTTTTGAATCCAATAATGAATGTCTATTTAAAATTGAATGAAATTTAGTAATAATTCTTAACAAACAAAAAAAAAATCCAAAAAATAAACTTACATCACAGGAAAAACTTTAGGAAAAACAACCGATGCTTCAGCCAAATATTCATATAATATACGCATCTCTGATTCATCTGTAGTGTTTCGTACCAATGTTGCCTTGTTGGATTTACAAAATAAATTTTTTTCAATTCAATTTTACAAAACAAAAAAACAAATGAACTTACCAAAATGGTTAATATAAGTGCTTGATTTTGAAAATCAATCAATACATCCGGATCTAAAAGTATATTATTTTCATTCGATACGGATAATCTTGATTTACGATTTGTTGTTGTTTGTTGTTTTTGATCATGTTTTACAATAGCAGTATTATTATGTAATTCATTAACAATATGATGTTTATTTTGTTGATGATCATTTGATTTTTGTTCAGATGAATCTTTTATCGATTGTTGTTGTTGTTGTTGTTGTTGATCATCACCACATGTATTATCATCAAATGATTCTGAACCATTTTTATTATTAATTTTTGGTGATGGCATTGAACTACTACGTTGTGTACGAAATAATGGCCTATATACTGATGTTATTGATTCACTATCTAAACTTTTCCAATGTTTATCATCAACATTTAATGATTGAGAATTTGAATTGACATTTGAATTTGATGTTGTTGCTGTTGTTGTTGTTGTTGTTGTTGATGATGATGAATAAACGGCAATATTATTTGAAAGATTTGGTTTTAATGGTGTTTTTGTAATTATTTTTGTACCGGTTGTTGTATTAGTTATTGTATTTGTTGTTGATGTATTATTACCAATTGTTAATGTTGATTGTTGATTTGTATAGAATGTTGTTGTTGATGTTGTTATTGAATTTGAATCAATTGATTTTTGTCTAATACTTGTCGGTGTATTTGGATTCGATGATATCGATGAATTTGTATAATATTGTGTATGTGTTTGAGCAAACATTACTTTATGTGGTTGTGTTATATAACTGCTTAATGGTAAATTCATTAATGTTGATGGTGATGATAATGGACTTGGTGCTAATGTTTGTACAGTCATTGTTGCTGGTGATGATATATTTGTTGTATTCAATAATTTTGTATTATTAGTACCATTAATATTTGTTGATTGTTGTGTAGATGAATTTGTTGTTGGATTTTGTAATTCATTTGTTGTTGTTGTTGTATAATTTTTCGATGATGTACGATCCAAAATCATTCGACTAACACGATGTCGAAGATGAACTCTACTTTGAACTTCTTCAGTAACCGGTAATAATGCAGCTAAATATGGTACTGATTCAAGATTAACTTCAAATTTATCACGTTTATGTGGTTTAGCAACAATTTCCAATAACATATTTAATACACGTGTTGTACGTGAAACGGTTGTTGGTGTTGGATGACGAAAACCTTTTATTAAATGTCCAACTAATGCACAATGAAAATTTGATTTAAAACTAAGACCAACCGAATGATCAAGTTGTTTAAAATGCCATTCTAATGGTTCACGTGTAGCCATCATTACTGATTTTAATGTATTCATTTCAAATGTTGATGATGAATCAAGTGTATGAAGATTTTGTTCAAGTAATGCTAAACCTGATGCATATAATGATATTTCATCTAATTGTAATACTGATATGGCAATCCAAAATAATGCACGATGTATACGAGATTCTGGATTCAATAATGGCTGTAATCGTGTTAAACACATTATAATCGATTCAATTAATTGAAGATCTTGAAATGATTCTAATGCTTTCACTAGGATTCTTAGCAAACCAAGAATTTCTTTATCTGTCGTAAATTTTGAAATACAACCCAATACAATAATTGAACGTGGCTGTAATGCAGGATTATATCTAAATGCAAATGATCTTGACATTTCGGTCCAACGTTGTAACCAATCACAACCGGGTATATTTTTCATACAAGCTTCCATTATTTCTAATAATGCATCAGTAATTGTTTCCAATGAATTTAATGGTAATCGATCATAATTTTCATTCATAGCAGCAATAGCACGATCTTGTGTAAGATTATTATAATGACGATCAGTACAATAATGACGATTATAATTTAAAGTTGGATGTGTACGAAATGCAGTGACAGCTGCTGATTTAACATCACTAATACCGAATAATAGATAAAATTTCGGTAGACTAAATTCATCTAAACTTAATCTTAATACACGTTGTGTTTCACCACTGAATGATGGTTTTGTACATGTACATAATGAATGAATAATATTGATAACTAAACCATGAATCGATGCACGTAATGATATTGGTCCAATATGAACTAATAATGTAACAATATGAAATAAATATGGTAGATGATTGGCAACGTCTAAACAATTATTAAATGATAACATTAATAAATAACGACCAAGAATAGCAATATCATCCCACATTAAATGTTGTTCCAATGTTGATGTTGGTGATGTACAGGTTTTTTCAATTACACGACATAATCGACTAATTACTTTCATTGCAACTAATTGTACGTTTGAAGATGCAAGCGCAACAGCTGTATCGGCCATAATTTCTGCTTGTGAACTACCAAGACCACCAGTTACCGATCGTTTTAAGAAACTATCTAATGTTAAATCCAAAAGATCGGATATTTGTCCAATATTACCCCAGATTTTTGCCTGTATTGATGGATACATTTCTACTTCTTCAATGGTCAATGTAATAAGTTTATCCAATATAGTTGCTACACGTTGACGTTTATTATCATCAGTTTGTTTACAGAATCTAGTTAGATTCGGTAACCATGGTGTCATATATTCAAGACAAAGATGTTTAAGTTCAATATTTGATGATCGAAAACCTTGTATACATTCTTCAAGAAATTCTAAGGTTAAATGTGATGCATTCATAGCTAATTTTTCACTAATTTGTTTAATAAAAATTGTATTATTTGATGGAATACAAAGACCGGCTGTTTCAAGTAATTGTCCTTCAATTTTCAAATCAAATGTACCGGTCAATGCACATAATAAATTATATGCAGCAGTACGAAGATTTGGATCAGCACTACCAAGATTTAATAAAGCCATATTAAGCAATGTACCTGGTACATCTTTTGGTCGTATTTTAGTATGAACAGTAACCGAATCTGGTTGTGATAATTCCCATCTAGTACGAATATGTATAATAGCCTGTACAATACTATCACAATCATTATGTATAAATGATAATGGACCACTTTCATTTGCAATAGTTAATGTAAATTGATTATCATCAACAAGACAAACTTCTTCAATTTCAGATGCATAATAAACATCATTTAAATATACAGGTATACCTAAAACTTTTGTCTTTTCAGCCGATGTAATCTGTATGGCAGTTGGACCAACTTTTATTGATACTTTTGTATCTTTATGTGATAATTTTAATGCATTATTAAATACTTTAAGATCTTCTTCTAATGATAATGTTGCACCAGGTAATCTTTGTTGTTCAATATCAATATATTCACTTAATTTTTGTGCACTTTCAACAAATATTAATTTTCGACTACCTTTTAATGGCATTAATAAACGATCATGATATTTGGAATATTCTCTTACCCAACTATTACAATTATAAATATAAGTAGCGACAATTTTTTCATATGCAATTTCC